ACACACACACACACACACACACACACACACACACACACACACACACACTGTGCAAACAGAAAGGACAGGTGCAACCAGCTGCAGGTCGCAGCTGATTACTGAAAACAAACAAACTCTCCTGGTTTTCTGAGACCTTTGATCTGGTACCAGACTGGGTTCTGGGTTCAGGACGGAACCAGAGTTCTGGTCCGGTTCTGGTTTTATGTAACGAGAACACAAACACATTTGACCAGAAAACATTTAGAGTTTGAATGTGGATTTTTACAAAATGATACAAATAAATCATACTTTTGTTTGTTTGAAAGCTAACAGTGGCAGAACAGTAGTTTAAAGCTAAAAGTAGCTAAGGCTAACTGAAAGCTAACAGTGGCAGAACAGTAGTTTAAAGCTAAAAGTAGCTAAGGCTAACTGAAAGCTAACAGTAGCAGAACAGTAGTTTAAAGCTAAAAGTAGCTAAGGCTGACTGAAAGCTAACAGTGGCAGAACAGTAGCTTAAAGCTAAAAGTAGCTAAGGCTAACTGAAAGCTAACAGTGGCAGAACAGTAGCTAAAAGCTAAAATTAGTTAAAGCTAGCTGAAAGCTAACAGTTGCAGAACAGTAGCTTAAAGCTAAAAGTAGCTAAGGCTAGCTGAAAGCTAACAGTAGCAGAACAGTAGCTTAAAGCTAAAATTAGCTAAGGCTACCTGAAAGACAAACAGTGGCAGAACAGTAGCTTAAAGCTAAAAGTAACTAAGGCTAACTGAAATATAAAAAGTGGCAGAACAGTAGCTAAAAGCTAAAATTAGCTAAGGCTAGCTGAAAGCTAACAATGGCAGAACAGTAACTTAAAGCTAAAAGTAGCTAAGTCTAGCTGAAAGCTAACAGTGGCAGAACAGTAGCTAAAAGCTAAAATTAGCTAAGGCTAGCTGAAAGCTAACAGTGGCTTAACAGTAGCTTAAAGCTAAAATTAGCTATGGCTACCTGAAAGACAAACAGTGGCAAAACTGTAGCTTAAAGCTAAAATTAGCTAAGTCTAGCTGAAAGCTAACAGTGGCAGAACAGTAGCTAAAAGCTAAAATTAGCTAAGGCCAGCTGAAAGCTAACAGTGGCAGAACCGTAGCTTAAAGCTAAAATTWGCTAAAGCTAGCTGAAAGCTAACAGTGGTAGAACAGTAGCTATAAGTAGCCTAAAAAGACTAAAACAGAGCAAGTTTGTTGTCATTCAGTGAAATATTTAAACCAATCAACAGCTGTTATCATGTTTTTGTTTATTCGGCTCTTTCCTGACCGCCCCCACCAGCAGGCAGGTAATCCTGTAACTGCAGCTGAGCTCAGAGTCGCAGCCGAAGGCCGGGGGTCAGTAATGATCCACATCCACAGAAGTGTCATTTAATGAGTTCTGACTGAATCAAACAGCCGAACAGCTCTGATTATCTCTGACCTCAAACTACACTCTCTCCACTTGCACCAACACGTGCACACTCACGTGCACACACATGCACATTCACGTGCACGCCTGGTCTGCAGGCATCAGGGTGGACTGAGCAGCACAAGTCCTGGTGAACAGATCTGTTAAACTGTGAAACTGTTTCAGCTTCTCTGTTAACAAATAAAAACATTTTTCATTTAAAACCGTTTGAGATGCAGCTATCAGCTGTAGCTGAAGAAGTGTTGTCTGTTCGGCTGTGGTTCGGCTGATCTGTTGGCAGAAACAATTATGATCAAACATTTATAAACGAGTTTTCGAAGAAAAACAAACTAAAGAAAAAAATAAAAATAAAAAAATCTGAACGCTGAGAGAAAAACTAAAATTGAGCTGTTGCAGCTAAAAAAGGTGAAACAGTAGCTAAATGCTAAAAGTTACTGAAACATAGCTGAAAGCCAAAGGCTGCAGAATAGTAGCTGAAGGTAGTTAAGGTTGGCTGAAGGCTAAAACCTTTAAACCTGTAGTTAAAGGGAAACAAGAACCTCAAAGTAGCTACTGTTAGCTGAAAGCTAAGGGTGGCAGATTGATAGCTAAACGTAAGAGAATGGTGGTTAAATTGAGGAAAAGCTAGATGAAAGCTAAAGCTGGCAGTACAGAAGTGACATGCAGCAAAAAGACATTCAGCAAATGATTAGCTAAAAATTAAAGTAGCAGGACATCAGCTAAAAATATCTAGCTGGTAGCCGAAAGCTAAAAGTGACTGATTGTAGTTAAAAGGAACAAAAAGGCAGCTAAATGCTAAACTAGCTAAGGCTACCTGACAGCTAAGGGACGAATAACTAAAAGAAAAAAATAATTGTAGCCAAAGGGTAGCTAAAAACTAAACATGGCATAACAGCAGCTAAAAGTAGCAATATGTTAGCTAAATGTGGCAAAATAGCTAAAAGTGGTTGGTAGTTAAATGGAGGTAAGCTAAATGAAAGCTAAAGCTGGCAGAATAGAAGACTAGCTAAATCTAAAAGTAGCAGTACAGTCGCTAAAAATAACTAGCAGAAAGCTAAAAATGACAGCAGCTAAATGTTAAACTAGTGGCTATCTGACAGCTAAAGGTGGGAGAATAATAGAAAAAACAAAGAATTGTAGCCAATTGATAGCTAAAAACTAAACGTGGCAGTACATAAGCTAAAAAGAACAAAAGACCAAAATAAAAGCATTTAGTTGAAGAAAATTCCAAAGTTTTTATAAGAAAAACACATTTTTCTATGAAAAAACCTTGTAAATGACAGAAAACAAAAATTCCAGCACTTGTCACCCGAATGAGCCGAAGGTTTTAAACGGTAACATTTAATAACTTCATTAAAGCTTTAAATAAAAACATTTAATAATCAGACATTTTTAGCTGTTTTAGCTGCAGCTGTTTGGTCTGGTTTGATGGGTTTGTGTCTCACCAGCAGCTCGGCTCAAACCCTTGAATATTGACCAGCCTGCTCTGGTTCTGGGCTCGGACGTGGACCACTCCAGGACCAC